AAAAAAATTTAAATAATTTTTCCTTATTGTATCTCTTAGGGAAAATCCCAAGGCCGATTTCCGTGATGACGTCATAAAACAAATTAAAATAGTTTTTATTGTTATTAATTATTATTATTATTAAATAACAAAATTCAATTTTATTTATTTAGTCATAAATATTTATTTATTAACAATGTTATGAATTTTAAATTATAAATAAACAAATTGTTTAATAAAATCCATCAATAATAAAATAAAATTGGATGCGGGGGTAAGGAAGAGAGGGAAGGGAAGGGAAGGAAAGAGAGGGAAGAATGGGAAGAAAGAGAAGGGAAGGGGATGTAAAAAAAAAAATTATCGTACGTTTACCTTTTTTTTCCTTGTCATCATCATTTACTTTAAGACTAATTACTTTTAGCATCCAAATAATAATAATAATAAAAAAAGAGGAGGGGAGGGAAGGGGAAAATTAATATTAGGTTCTCGACAATTTCAAACCTGAACCAATTAATAATTTTTTTTTTTAACGTCATTAATATTTTTTTCTTTTTTTTTTACGGAGAGTTAATTTATTATTTTAAATAACAATAAATAATTTTATTTATTCCCCTTCCACCCTTCTTTCCTTCCTTCTCCCTCCCCCTCCCCCTCCTTTTTTTAAACAAATAAATAAATAACGACGACGACGACGACGATGACGACAACAAACGAATTTACTTTGCAATATTTTAACGTTTGACGAATTTACGTATAAAAAGATTTTGATTAACTTATCCCCTTCCCCCTCCAACCCTCTTACCTCTTTTTTCACCCCACCCGACCCCCGCCTTCACTTTCCTTCCCTTAGAATTTTTTTTTTTTTGGAAAATTTAAATCCCCCCTTTTCGAAAAAAAAAAAAAAAAAATTATTGAATCGCGTGTAACGAAACCATAAAATATCACTAATTATTATTATTATTATTATTATCATTATTATTATTATTATTATTATTATTATTATTATTATTTTAATTTATATGAAATTAAAACGGTTATTAATATATATATTTATAGTATTTCGAATAACAATAATAATAATAAATAATGAAAAAAAAAAATTTTTTTTTTTGCTTCTTCTTATTCTTAATATGAAATCGAATTAAATTTTTAATAATAATAATAATGATAAAAGATGCTTGGATAACTCGTAATGAATTTTAGTAATAATAATAATAATAATAATAATAATAATAATAATAATAATAATAATAATAATAATAATAATACTAATAAGTAATTTAATTTTTTTCGTGGGGCAAGGGGAAGAAGAAGGGAAAAAGGGTTGAAAATGATTTTTATAATTTTATGAATAAAAAGAAAATGTCAAGGTGAAAGGGGGACGAATCGGAGGAATTTTTTTTGTTTACTCGGAATTGTTGACCACGTTCGTTTGTCGTTTGTCGTTTGTTTTTCTCATTACAACAACAACAACAACAATCGCGTGACTTATTAAAAAAAAAAAAAGAAAAAAAATTTGTTTTAATAAATGATGAAAAACTAAAAAAAAAAAAAATAAATTTTTTTTCTTTTTTTTTAATTATTTTTTAAATGTTTTTATTTAAATTTAAATTTTTTATGAATTTTAATGTTTTTTTTTTTTTAAATTAAAACACTCCCCCCTCCTTTTTTTCTCCTCCCTCCTTACCTCTCTCCCTCTCCTCTTCCCCCTAAAAAAGGAAAATTTTTTTTTTTTTTTGAAGGTTTTCAATGGGAATCGTTTAAAAATTATTTTTTTTTAAAATGATAAAAAAAATTTTTCGAATGAATCGAAATGAAAAAGGTTTAAAACATTTTAAAACAAAGGAAAAGCAATAAAATGATTTTAAAAAGGAAAGGAAAAAAAATGAATTGTAAAAATAACTTTTTTTCGGGGAGTAAGAAAAAAAAAAGCGTTGAGGAAATTTTTTTTTTTTTTTTTAATAGTTTTCCATACGTTTTTCAGGTAGTTGATCGGCCTTAATACGTTTTTTACGTGTTTCCCCCTTACCTCTCCTTACTCCTTTTTTTTTTTCCTCCCTTTTTTTTTTCCTCCTCTTTCAGAAAAAAGAATTTAAATTAATTTTAAAAACTATTACATATTATTTTATTTAAAATGATGTATACGTACGAGAAAAAAAAAAGTTTATCATTTTTTTTTTTTTTCCAGTTTTTTCCATGATTTTGGAAAAAGTTTTTTTTTTTTTTTTTTTTTTTTGAAACAAATTTTAATTGACTACTTTTTTCGTTTTAGTTTCTTTTTCTTTTTTTTTTATTATAAAATCAGAGTAAATTACGGTTCGGGTAATAAAACACAAAAACGTCGTTTGACAAGTTTTTCCCGGGTTTCTTTCCACATTCATCTTTTAACTCTCTTTTCTCTACTACCCCTACTATCACCACCACCACTACCACTACTTCTTCTTCTCTCAGTTAAAAAAAATTTTCCACCATTTGAAAATTCGTTCCAGGAGTTTTTCCTATCCCTTCCCTTTGCTCTTCACCTCTCTCCCCGCCCCCGCCCCTCCACCTCCCACAAATGAAAAGTCAAAATGATTTTTTTAACGTTGCCAACCGCCATACGTTGGGAATTTTGCCAACACGAAGGCTTTTCAAACGAATGGCGGCGCATTAACCCTCGATTTAAACTCTCCTTTGATAATTTCCTTTTTCCTTTTTTCTTTTCATTATTATTATTATTATTATTATTATTATTATTATATAAATGAAAGGACCTTAAAAATGTGTGATAGAGTAAGAGAAAAAATTTGATATTTTCTTGTAAATAAAATTACTTTTGAAAAAAAAAAAATTATTCTCACGATCATGCGCTTGTTTTTTAGTTACACATCTCTATTTTTTTTTTACGACAGCACCAACAGCACAAGCAACAGCAGCACCAACACAAAAACCATTTTCTTTTGGCTAATTTTCCATTTACTATCATTCATCAACCTTAAATAACCCGCTGCTGCGGTTTTTTTTTAAAATAACGTTTGACCTTTTATTTATCATTTCAAAGCCGCATCATATTTTATCCACGTTAAGACTTTTTTGTGTTTGTTTGTTTCTTTCTTTCTTTCTTTCTTTTCGAATCCTTATACAAACATTCATATTACGTAATAATAATAATAATAATAATGATATAATTAACTTTTTTTGTGGGGGGTTTAATTCGCGTTTAATTAAGCATTAATTTTACAATGTTGGTAATTATATTTTTTTAAAAACAAAAATCACCCGATATATTTTTTGATTGTATATTATTATTATTATTATTATTATTAATATTTGATAAGGGAAAAAAAAGATTTATAAAAAAAATAAACTGGGGGAAAAAAGAAAAAGAAAAAAAAATTAAATTCGTTAAATTAGGCGTTTATTCGCTTTATTTTCCAGCCATTTTGTTTTTTTTTTTTTACGTTAATTTTCCAGTCGTCGTATTTTTACTAACGAAAATAATTTATTTTACCTTGTTTAATAATTTTTTTCCTTTGAATCTCTTTCATTTTTATCCTTTTTTCCTTTTCCTCTTTCTCTCTCTAACGTCTTTTTATTTTCTTTTTATCATTTTTTATTTCCCCTCACCCATCATTCAAACTTTCTTTTTCTTTCTATCTTTTTAGCTTTTTATTTTTTATTTTTTTCCTTTGTTTTGTTTCCTTTTTTTTCCTTTTTAAATTTTGAAATAGCTTTTAGCATGAATTTTGGGATTTCATTTGGACACCGCATCCCTCTCTCTTTCTCTTTTTTTTTTATTTCCCTTGATGGTTTCTTTTATTTTTTGTAATTTTTTTTTTGTTTATTGTGAAGCTTTTGTAGTTGTTTACTTTATGTTTGACATACCTCCCACGTCAAAATGGGGATGATTTTTCCTTTTTCATCCCCCCTCTTCCTCTTTTCAATGACAACATGTATTTCAGTTTAAAAAAAAAATGATTCGAACAATGAAATAGGAGTAGTAGTAGTAGTAGGTGGCAGACAAAGGAAAAAAATTTTCAAACATATTTGAAATTTTCTTTTTTTTTGTTCGTTTTCCCGGGAAAATTTTCCGCCGCTATGTTTTCACAGATACTCGCAAATGCTAGCAAACAAAACGATATAAAAAATCAAATTTTTTTTTTTTTTGCGGTCGTAAATGTACATTAATAATAATAATAAAAAATTTAATTATATTATTTTTTGTAATTAAACAAACGACGACGAATCATGTTCTCGCTTTCTAGAGAATGAATCCCCCTCCCCTCTCCCCAAAAAAAAAATTGTAATTGTGGAAAAAAAATGAAAATTTTTTCTTTTTTCTTTTTTTTTTTGGTTAATAACGTTCGTGCCGAGTAAGTTTTTTAGAGTTTTAATTACTTTAAAAAAAAAAAAAATTTATTTCGTTTAATTATTTTTTTGCTAATGAATCCCATCAAAAAAAAAAAAAATTCTACAACTTTTATATATAAAAATAATTATTTAACCGATTATATAATTTATTAAAAACGTCATCATACTCATCGTTATCGTAACTTCCGGTTTTGTTACGTCACGTTTATGCTCAATTTTACTGTAAACACCAAACCTCAATAGTAATATAAACAACACCGTTCATACAACATGTTTTATTGCATTCGGACATTTAAATCCGTTTATTATTATTATTATCATCATCATCATCATCATTATCATCATCGTTAGGGGTTTCCGCAATTATTAAAATTAATTTTTTTTGGCGGGATTTATTTAATTATTATTTAAAAATAATAAAAACCCAAGTCAAATTATCTTAGCGGTTGTTTTTGGAAAAAAGACGTCACAAGGCGGTGAAAGTCGTGATGATGATAATAATAATAATTATTACGGTATATATATTTGTTCAGCCGATTCACGGGTGGATTTTCGGAAAGGAGGGAGGGTACCTGAATTTTTTTTTTAAAGAAAGAAAACAATGGAAATCATTCTTTTGCTAAATTAATTTTTTTTTTTTTTTCTCATTGATTTTTGTGTTCCTGCATTACATGTTTTTTGGCAAAACCTCAAACTTTTCACAGGGAAAATGTAAAAGAAGAGAGAGAGAAAGAGAGAGAGAGAGAGAGAGAGAGAGAGATTGAATTAAAATCTCTTAGTTTAAAAAAAAAAAAAAAAAAAAAAAAAAAACTTTTATTTTTACTCTAATTTTTTTTTTTTTTGTTTTTTCTTCTCATTTTAGATCATTAAAAAAAATTTTTATTTTATTTTATTATATCCTTAAACAATATCCTCATCCTGTTTTTTATTATTATTATTATTCCTATATCGTTCCTTTTATTTTATTTTCCTCGCAGCAGCCCTATCACAAACTCCAAGATCTTTAGAACATCGTAATTCAAGAGCTAAACAAAATCGTACAACCATTAGTTTTAAAGAATATATAGAAGCCGAATTGAGCAGTAAACCTGTATTTACGACAAATCAAGGGAAAACAAAAACCGATTCAGGTTTTGAAAACGGTAATAAGGAAAAATCAAATTCGGCAACGTCGGATGGTGCAAGAAACAATTCATCGCCAAGATATTCTTTTGCAAGTGAGTATTTAAATAATTTTTACTAACGCTATTATCAGTAGTTTGCGTCACACGTGTGATAACAAGATTAACCGAAAAAAAAACCAGTAAATCGGGTGCATCAAAATTATCATTAATAATAATAGTAATAGTAATGATAATAATAATAATAATTTTTTTTTTTTTCAACGAACAATTTTTTTTTTAGATCGAGGGAATAATTAGTGTTGTGTGTAAAAAAAAAAAAAAAAAATTTAAAAAAAAATTTAAAAAAATTTATTCCCACGGATACGACAAAAAAGGGTTTTTTAATGACAACCCCGGTTATGATAAGGTGATAAGAAGAAAAAAACATTGGTTGGAACACGTGTGTGTCTGTGTGTGAAAATTATTATTATTTTTTTTTATTAAGATAACAACATTATCGATAAGGAATCATAAATTTTAAAAATAAAAATAAATAATTTTTTAAAAAAAAAAAAATAATCGAAACCCACCCTTTTTTGATGCACCCTTTTTCCTTTTATTCCTACCTTTTACTTCCGTTTTATTATTATTATTATTATTATTACTAATGATTTTAATCGATGGTTTGTTTATTTCCGGTTTTGTTGAAATCTTACAACGTGTTTTTTTAGTAAATCAACAATCTCTTATAAGGCTTTATTTTTTAACAATAAAAATTTTCGGGGGGAGAAAGTGGATATGTTGGAGAAGGGGGAGAGGAAGGGGTAAGGGGAGGTAAGAGGGGAAGGGAGGGATAAAAACAATTTTTTATTATTTTACTTTTATTTTTTCTAATTTATTTTGATTTACGAATGAAAATTTAAGAGTTGAGAAAAAAAGATGAAAATAAACGATAATTTCAACGTCATAGAGTAATAAGACGTTTTCTTTTTCTTTTTTTTTTATACTATGAAAGCGCGACAAGACAGAAAAGAAAAAAAAAAAAAGTAAAATTTTATATATTTTTTTTTCGGTACATAAACTTTTATGAGTTTTATTCGTTTAAAGTGGTTCAAAACCTTTCCATCTTCCATTTTGTTTTTTTTTTTTTTAAAGAAAAATAAGGGAAAATTTTAAAATTTTCTGTTACCTTTTTTTATTTTCTCTCTCTCTCATAGTTTTCCCTTATTTTCTACCTTTAAAAAAAATTTTTCATTTCGAAACTTATAATAATAATTTCTTTTGGTAAAAAAAAAAAAAAACGTGACGTTGCGTGCGTGCGTGGGTGTGCGTGGGTGTGCGTGTGTGTGTGTATGTGATTTTTTAAGTTTTACTTCTTCTTCTTCTTCTTCTTATACGTAGAAAAATTTATTTTCTTCCAACCGTGTGAATGAAAATTTAATTTATGTAAATGACAGAATGACTGTATTTATAATTTATGGTAATATGAGGCATACACAAATTATTAAATAAAATTATCTGAAAAGTTAATTGTCTAATGAAATTAAAAATCCCACACACATAAAACTCTAACTTCTTTTTCCTCTTCTTTTTCTTCTGCTTCTAATAATAATAATAATAATTATTATTATCATTATTATTATTAAAAATACCGCATGAATTTCTTTTAAAAAACATTTTTTTAAATACGATCGTTAATAAATAACAAAACGTTGTACAATTAACGAATTACGTTTTTTATTTACTAAATAACGTATTGTTGTGATGATGGTGATGGTGATGGTGGTAGTGGTGGTGGTGGTGGTGTTGGTGCATGTGATGTGATGGTGGTGTGCGTTAGAGTTTATTATTATTATTCTTATCTCACGTAAAAATTTTTATCATGTTTTTTCATTTTCATTTTTTTTAAGGAATCATATTTATTATTATTATGGTCACTCATAAATACGACAATTATTATTATTATCGTTAATAAAATTTTATTAAGATGAAATTAATAAATACATAAAAAATTATTCATTAAATATTTACAGGGGGCGGGTAAGGGGAACGCATAAAATAATAACAATGAGAAAAATATTGTTCAAATCAAAAAAAAATTTTTTTTTTTTTTTTAATTAAATAA